CACCTTATCACTGTTTCAGTCACCTGTTTGATTCCGATTTCTCTCAAATTAAGCTTGAGATAAAATTTCATGCTGTTAAATTTAAAGTTAATGTTGAATATGAACTGGATAGCATAAGGATTATTATTATTATCAGATAAGAACATTCAACAAACCTCGGTAAATTATTAGCATCAGTTTGAAAAAATAATAAATCAGAACAACCTTGGTACATGATTAGCATCAGTTTGAAAAACAAAATCAGAACAAATCCTGAAAATGATTGAGATTTTTTGTTAATTTTGTTTTTACAGTTTAAAACATACACATTTCAATAAACTATTTTTCATGTCTGCTTTGACTCTGAACAGAAAAAGTCCAGCTCACCTCAATTTTCATTCTGTCACCAGTAATAAACAAATCTTTACAGAAACAAGACTATACCACCACAAATATAGCACAAAATGATCTCTGACTTACTGTTTATTGGCTTCTTTTCGTTAAAACATTTGTATCATAGATGGCCATCCTAACAAATCTCATATGAAGAAAAGAATACATTTTTGATTTTTAATAATGCCAACCTACCATTGACTATTTGCCTTTGAGTCCCTGAATTATGGTTTATCTCCAGGAATCTGTGTTTTATGAACATTACACATAAATGTAATGTACCATAAAGCTGGGAAATATTTCTCCAACTCTGTTTTGACTTCTTTACACGGCTTTCATATAAACTTGAGATGACAAAGTGAAAATCCCAAATATATGACAGATTTGCTTCATGGACGACTCATAAAGACTGAAGCTTCACTCACTTGAGAGCTTTTATCTGGCTGCAGATTTTACCTACAAGTTTAGAAAACATTTCATGCTGTTGACTCTTAACTTGTCATTCACGTCCTACTAGTGATCATTATGGTGATATTCAACAAGTTTTGCTATCACTCATTAAGCACAGCTACAACATGAACATGAGTTGTTCAAAATTACACACACATACATACATGCACATATTTGCAGTTTTTGTGGTTTTCATAAATGACACAATATTTGGATTTTTTTAATGCCTAATTTAGCAATTTTGTAATTAAGTTACTTATAACAATTATTTCCCTTTTGATAATTAAGATAACAAATGTTGCATATAACTTTATTTTGGTCTGTCTGATGATGTAATTTTTAGATATCAAATGGTTGATATATTTGATCAGTAGTACTTCAGTCGCCTTTTTACCAAATACCTTTTTGTCTTTCTTGGATGGGTTCCTTTACTTTTACTTTTTTTTAAATATGGAGAAGTAGTGCTATTATTAGTTGAATGTAATTTTTGGCTGTTCCTCTGTGGACATCTGAGGTGAAGCTGCTTAATAACCTCTGAAGGTAGACCTGAAAATGACAGAACGTTCAACTACACTATGTAAAACTATTGCTGCTAACTGATTTTCTCAATGACAAGTTAGCAGCTAGCATGAACAGCTACTACTGTCATTTATACTACAGTAACAGAGGCAGGATGTGATAAGAGGAGCTGGATCCTCTTATCAAAGAGTGGGCAAAGGGCAGAAAAGTCTGTTTGGGGTAGATCCTTACTGAAGATAATGAAATAAAAAGAAGCCTCCTCAGATTGAGGAGGGAAATGTCACTAATAGCTAACAGCTTCTTCTGTTGGAGACTGGGCCACATGATAGCTAAAACTGAAAATAAAAGCAGTGAAGATCAGAGACTAAAAGACTTAGAAATGTGAATTGTCTTAATTTGTGTGGTGTAGCTGTAGAGTCAGTAAATTTATTGCAGTCAAAGCAGTTGTTACTCTGTCTGCTCTGTTTATATGTAATGTGAGCTGATATTACATGTAAAGGGATAAACCTGAAAGTCATTTCATAAAAAATAATTCAAACTTTTGTCATTGTTGATGTATAAAAGGTGCTAAAAAAAACCTTAACGACCATAAATCATAGTAATAATGAACGTAAACAGGCAGCCTACACGTCTCTTCAGTTTTCCTCACAAACAGCTAGTTAGTGACTCTGCAATTCAAACTACTGAATGAAGCTGATTTTCCAGTCTCTCTATGCGTCAACAAAATAGTGCTGTTTTCTCTCTGACCTGATAAGCTTTGAAGATCAGCCAGTAGTTGTGCACAGTTGATGCACTCTTTTAGCTCTACACCTGAGGAGAAATTATAGCATTATAAATCACTTCATAAAAGATTTCCTCCATGTCACAATGTAATTCTATCTGCATGAATTCATGTTTATTATTTAGAGCTCCATATTCAAAGACCTATTCCTCTGTAGTCACATGCCAGTAAAGCATTACAGATTGCTTCTTGTCTCTTCCAGAGGCTTTTTTTCTGAAATGCAGCCTCTGTGTAATGGCTTTAATTGAGATTTATGCTGGCCGATATTATTTCCAGCGCTAATGACTGTGCCTGTCCTGATGAGTGGGAAGGAAGGTCAGTTGTCTGGGTTCGCCCTCCATGGACATTGACGACTTATTGGTGATTTTTACCCAACACTGTTCGGAATTTCAGAAAGAAAGTGTTTACATGGAAACCAGCAGAGCTGAGAACAAACATCTGTAAAATCAAGGACTTCCCGTTATTTCCTCCACTCATCTGGAAAAGCAGATTGTTTTTTTTAATATTAAAGCTCTCAGTTTGATCTGAGCTCATTTGGTTTTGCTTTTTTTTTCATTTCTGAAGTGAAAGACTGAAAGGTGGTAATGGGAGAACAAATTGACTTTTCAAAAAAACAACAGGAAAAAACACTGAGTATGTATCAACATGCATCCTGGATCACTTTGTATCAACATGCGTCAGTCTGTTTCCACTGGATATTTATCAGACTTCTATTGGAGTCAGGGCCATAATGGTTTCATTGATTGCTTATCCTTCACATCCATCAGAAAGGCCTCAGTCTTCTGTCGCTACATACAACACTGATTAAACACACAAACACACACATGCATGCGTGTGTTTGCAATGTTTCTCTGATGCAATGTTTCATCTTTCAGAGAAACATTGCACGAACATATATAGGTAACTGAAGGTTTACCTTTGCTGGAGTTGGATGTAAAATCCTCTTGCATTGATAACCATATAGGTTATCCATCCATCCATCCATCCATTTCCTGATCACCCTTTTTCCTAATGGGGTCGGGACCATGTAGGTTATCACAAACAAATTTATTTTCAGTCAGAGACCTGGTATTGTGCAGGCTCTACACCTGAGCCTTCTCACAGATCACTCTGGTCAACTCTTTCTGTGGCATCTCATTAAAACATTTTGAATCACATGACATCTATGACAGGGATCATTTATCATTTTTAAATGGCATCTTTTAAACCTTTGGTGTTGATTCCTGAACCTGTTCCTGTCAGGACTGTTAAAAAGCAAAACACCTTCCTAGTGTTGTTTTGTTTTCCAAGATATTAATGTTAATGTTTGCACATGCACAGTTTGTCCTTTAGTGGACAAACCACTGCAGAGATAACAGGATGAATTCTTCATGTCCTTCAGTTTTTACAGATGAACTGATCACCTTTATGAACTCAAACAGACTCAGCTGATTGGCTGAGGATGAGCGTCAAGTTTGAAAATGTCTCATTCCACTTTCCTAATCATTTTATAAAATCTGTCAGGTGACAGCAGCACATAAATTCTGTTTTATTGATGAAAGCATAAAACACAATGTTTCCTCCAAGAAGCCAGACTCTTTCTAACCTTCTGTGGAAAAATCAGCTCTTAGACATTATTTTAAATCTTATTTTCATCCCAGAGTGTGGTAATTTAAAAGACATAAATGTCAGTTTGTTAAGCTTACAAAAGTGATCCTGACCTTGAGTATTTTATCATTTTTACCTACAGCAGTAATAGAAATCAAAAGATCTTTAGGGCATTTTTGTAATATGGCAGGAAAATGAGGCAACGTTTCCAAAACTTTAACAAATAAAGTGATAAAATGGTGGGCACGCCTTCAAGCTCAACACATCTAGAGACTGACTCAGCTGTCTTCTTTAATTGCTCAAACTTGTTGAGTATTAGATGGAGATCATTTGTGAACATGAGTTTATAAAACAAATTTGCAATTATTTTGAGGTCTTGACTTGAACTAGGTCATTCTAACATTTCAATATGCATTGATGTAACGGTTTCATTGCAGCCTCCGATTGTATGTTTAGGGCTGGAAGGTCAACCTCCACATCACTCTCAGCTCCTCCACCTACTCCTGACCGGTTTTGGTCCAGATTTAAAGGATCAGATTCTCACTACTGAGTTGTGAATCTCTACAGCTGATCCAGAGCTCTGCTTGCCGCTTCGATTAATGGTGGTTTATGTTTGCAGTTTGTGCCAAATTGTTTTTGGAAGATGGACTGAACGGTTTGTAGGATTTTAAGTTCAGCGTAATTTTCCTTCCACTTCATGCGCGTCACAAAAATATCTGTTACTCAATTAATATGATTTTAAAAACACTTTTTAATCGATTGACAGCACTACATAAAATATACTGAAGTTTGTAATGTGACAAAATGTGGAAAAAGTTCCAGTGTGAATGCTTTTGGAAAACATTGTTTTCTAACCAACGAACCAGTCAAGCAGAAAAAAAGAATGACTCCTGAACTGGAGGGAGATTATTATTTTTGTATCTTCATTACTGTATCTTTAATTAAATCTGTGAAAATACAGAGGAAAATGTAATTTAATTTTAATTCCAGCAAGCTGATTCCCAAAGAGTTGCGTATTGCAGGCAATGAACAGAAAAACTGTCCCAGACCACAAAGTTGTTTTATTTCATCTGCTGTGTGCAAGCAGTCTGCAGAATGACTCAACAAAAGTTTTTAAAATTCTGCTGGCAGAAAAATATGTTATTCGTGGTTAAACTTTTTGCTCTGCAGTCATGTTCTCTGTCGCCATCTAGTGAAATATTTCCGCTATTCCACCATGGAAACGTCCTTGTAAAAAGGCATTTATAGTTCAAATATTCAAAGCAGAAGCAATAAAACTCAAACTTTTCAGTAATGTACAAAGTTTTATTCTTGAAGAAGATGAAGGTGCAGCAGTTACAACTTTAACCTGTTCTCTGGCCTCCAAAACCTTTTAGATTTAATCCATTTGCTCTTTAAAAAAACATGCCTGCAGGTTTCTGCCTTGTCTTTTGGTAAAATGTGGATTTTGTACTAACAGTCTCTAATAAATGATATTTCTTGATATGATGTTCATGTTAGAGTTTTAATGTTAAAATGTTGGGGGTTGGTTATAACAAATAGGAGCTGTTCTTGACAGAAATTATTAAATGCTGCATGTTTAAACTGAATTTAAATGAAATGTTTTAAAATCAGACTGACTGAAGATCAACTGTTTCACAAAACATTAAAAAAAGAAATTATTGATTTATTTATAAAATGGAGCCAGTTGAAAATAAGACTTGAGTGTTTAAAGATGGTTCTCTTTTGCCCTGTTTGCTTCTTGCATTTATTTTTTCTGTTGCAGAACCAAAATAGCAAAAGAAAATCTACTAGAAAGATCAATGCACTTTAGGATAAACACCATCATGTCTGAGTAAAGTTAGACAATCCAACTCCAAGGATGTATTTGGTGTGAAACCCAGAAAAGTCTACAAGCTGCATCAAAGTCAGCCCTTTTTTCCTTTTTTTTTTTTTTTTTTTTTTTTTTGCTTATATTTAACATTACACTCAAGTCTGCCTAAAAACGTTGTGTAGGTTTTGGGATTTTACAAGCTCAGGCAGCATTTGCATGATTGGAAATCAAGCAAAGCCTTTAGGAGCATTAAAAAAGCTAGCTTGAAAGCTCTCGTGCATGCATATTGTGTTTTATGCACTCCTTTGCAGAACATTAAAACAATGTAGTTGAGGTAACTTTTTTGCTGTTGCTGCTTTGGTTTAGTCTACCTAACAGTCCTAAAATCAACCATTTAACATGCCATGCAGGAGGTTCTCTGTTTTACCGCTCTGCAAATATTGGTATTACTTTAAGGGGAGATGGTTCTTTGTCTTTTTCGTTTTACTGCAGGCTGAATTAAACATGTTATAAGCAAGCATATTTGTTTTTACTCTGCAAGAATCTGTCCAATTACCATAACAATGGGTTTGGCATCATAATACCTCAAGTCATTCAAAGATATAGAGGTTTACAGAACGTTATACTAACAACTTCACATTACACAAACTCTCAGTATTTTTTTTTTCAAATGCAAAATGTTTTGAACATAAAAGTGGCATTATGAACTTTTAAAAACCTTTGACAATCTAAATCATATTCCGATATCAGATTGCAAAAGGTATATAATTCACTCTTTCTTGTTCATCATCTCGTCTTCACTTTTCCATGTAATTTTATGAACTAACAAAAACAAAATCTGCATTTGTGATTGGTGATTCCAGTCAAGGTGGGCTGCACAGTGGCACAGTTGGTAGCACTGTTGCCTTGCAGCAAGAAGGTCCTGGGTTTGATTCCGGGGTCTTTCTGCACGGAGTTTGCATGTGCGTGCATGGGTTCTCTCCGGGTTCTCCGGCTTCCTCCCACAGTCCAAAAACATGACTGTCAGGTTAATTGGTCTTTCCAAATTCTCCTTAGGTGTGAGTGTGTGTGCATGGTTGTTTGTCCTGTTTGTGTCTGTGTTGCCCTGCAACGGACTGGCGACCTGTCCAGGGTGAACCCCGCCTCTCGCCTGGAACACTGCTGGAGATAGGCACCAGCACCTCCCGACCCCGTTAGGGAGAAAGGTGACCAGAAAATGGATGGATGGATTCCAGTCAAAAACAATGTAGTACCCCAGTTGTACCAGCAGGAGGCAATAATATCACCCGGTATGTGTTAACCGACATTAACACATCCAAATTCAAACCGTCTTTTGCTTTAGCATTGCCTACCATTTGTTCTAAGTCTTACAACGTTTTGAATTACACTTGAAGTTTATAAAGAAGAAATATTAGAGAGGATAGAGGAAGATGTTGGAATAATCTCCAACTAGAAATAATGGACATTTAAAATTCAACTGCCAGTGTTGTTATTGATGGGGCCTCAACGTTTATCCAATATTTTAAATTCCACAAAATATATGAAGCAATGCGAGTGAAAAGTTTGATTATTAACAGAAAAAGTGAGAAAACATGACCTCTGTTTTTTCTAGGTTATCTGACTATCATTTGTAGCAATATAACCTCTGTCATAATGTGCAGCCTCTCATGTGAATCCATTGTCTAAAACATCATCATAGTGGGTGGTAAGCCTGTTGGACAGGAGATCTGATGATCTCGTCTTGGCACTGATGTGTCACATCCAGCCTGGGCAGAGCAGTCCTCTGGCCTACTTCAATCCCAGCCAGCCCCTCTCACCACAGGACACGTCTCCGGTGAAGGACAGCGGCGACGGAGCATACAGGTCTGAGTCAGTATCTGACTCCCCTTCAGCTATAAACGGTCGGACCCTGGCACAGATTGAGCGTCCACCTACAGCTTCAGCGGCTGCACTGCCTCCTCCTCCTGAACCTGCAAAGAAAGACGGCCCAAAGAAGTCCTCTTTCGCCTGAGAGATGCTGAACCCGCTGAAGGAACGCTCCAGCTCCTCGTGGTCAACAGACGGGATGGAGAGGGAGGTGTCGCTCTCCACGGGTGTGGCGTCGCGCTGACACCTGTGTTTCCTGTGGCGTCGCCTGCCTTGAGAGCCCCTCTCTCTACCGCTCCCGCACACGCCTGAAGACGACCTATCATGTGTCGGTGCGGGCGGTGGAGGCAGACGGAAGACAGTGGGCGACTGGCCGCCGACGGCTAAGACGGGCGAAGGGGTGTTGGCCATGCTGCTGCCCCAGGCAGGCTGGCTGAGGGGATGCTGCAGCTGGTGCTGCCATGAAGTGGAGGGGCGGCTATTACTGCCAGATGGAGTGCCAACCGACTGTGCCACGGGCTGACCGAGTAAAGGATCTTTCTTTTCCAGAGACCTATCAGAATGGGAGACATCTGCCAAGGCAGAACGCGTCTTGGCTTTCTTTTCCACCTTGGTCGCCTCATCTTCATCCTTCTCTTCCTTGGTCTCCTCCGGGCTGTGGTAAGGCGGTGCTGGGTACGACTCCTTGGAGTTAAAAAAGGCCTCTGTTTCTGAATGAGTGATGCCCATACGTTGGACATACACATTGACCAGAAAATCAAGTTTTCTGTCCATGCAGAAAACCTACAGGAAGACGGAAAAAAAACAATGCAATTATTACAACTCAAAATTGGAACAAAGTAATCAACAAATACCTTCTTAAAGGGGCAATGTTCTAAAATGGCACATTGTGTAGTACCTATGTTACCTTCAGTTACAAAAATGCTGTAAATGCCAAAAATTACTTATATTTGACTTTGTAATTCCACGCCTAGTAATTGGGCCTCTGTCTCTTTAAGAAGCTCCTGCTCTTTCTGACACGTCGATTTCGCCATGTCGTCACAGCAACATTCCTCCATAATTTTTAACATTTTTACCAGTGCTTCATGGAGAACTAGCAAGGTAGCAGAGCACCAGATGTCACCAGGTGTCTGCTGATTGCTGCTGTCGCTAGTCTGGAGGAGCCAAGTGGAGCAAGAGGAAGCTTGGGTGAAGCTCCAAGGAGGAGGAGCTTTGGATAAATGGCCGGTGCTTTGCAGCAGCTAGTGTTTAGGCAACGCTGAATGATTGCCATGGGAGATTCAAGCATTTCTCAAACATGAACTCCAGGTATGTTTTTAATGAGGGAATAAAATTATGATGAAAAGCTCAGAAGAGTCAACTTTAAATTGATAAATACTGAACATTTTTTTAGTATGTCACACATATTAAACTTAGTACACATACTGGACTTAGCGGTGTTTATCAGCATTATATAACAGAATGTGGGGAAGTTTAAATGATATAAATACTTTCACAAGGAACTATGTAGACCACAGGTGTCAAACTCCAGTCCTGGAGGGCCACTGCCCTGCAACTTTTAGATGTGCCTCTGCTGCACCACACCTAAATAGAATAATTAGCTAATTAGCAAGGCTCTATAGAACTTATCTGCACAAGAAAGAGGAAATTAGGCCATTTCATTCCAGTGTTTTGTACCTGTGGCACATCTAAAAACTGCAGAACAGTGGCCCTTGAAGATTGGAGTTTGACACCCCTGGTTTAGATGGTCTCTGAACTGGTAGAGTTCTTTTAACAATTTTATTTAATTCTTTTACTCATTTAACCACATTAATATTGCTCAGTCTGTTAGAGTATCTGTTCAGAGAAAGTCTGTATAACCAGTCAGATAGGTTTCCTGCTGACCTCTACCTACAGTAGTTGCAGCAGACTGATAAGTGGACTAATGCTTCACCACACATACCAAAGCAAGGCACCAGTGTTTTTTAACAGATAAGAATAGTTAGTTTCGATAATAGTGAGATGGAATAAACCCTAAGGTTTAACAAATTCCTCTATTAAATGTCACAAGCTCAGAGTACGTACTGAGTGCATGTATAAGGTCTGACAATGTTCTTGTTATGCAAAATTGTTCCATTAGTAAACTTGATTTTTGGAAACGTCCATATTTTGAACACAGAAGATATTTATCAACTATTCAATTAACTGACCCTTCAGTGAGGATGTCGTTGCACTCTCCCCACCCTGTTAAGAATGACCATGCATCAAACCTGTTCAACTGGAACTGGCTCTGAGCTAGGGAGTGACCACATTGTGTGAAGAGTTCTATATATTGTGAGAGTTTGCAGCTCCAAGTCAGAACTCATTGCAGGTACAGCTGATGTGCTGTGGCTGCTGTGTGTTCTCTGATTGCAAACGACAAAATAAAGATTTTACTCTTTGTCATTTGCCAGAGTTTCAGCCTGATCTGTTCCACACATATTTTTTTTTTGTCTACAACGCCCACCTGTTTCTCCACTTTAACAAGTCGTCCCATCATGCTTTGGTCCTCCACTCCCTCTCCATCCACTTTGGAGCCTTTACCAACAATCTGGTCAACTCTAGGGTTTAAAAAATTGTTTAGTCAGATGGGATAAAACAAACATTTCCATGTCAGCCAGAAATCTTCAAAAGTTCACCATTAAAATTTTAAAAAATGCAAACAGGCACGTGCAGAGGGGGTGGAGGGTAAGGAGGCTGGAGCCCCTCCCCCTTTTATCCTTAATGCCCTAGTGCCCTTTTTGAGTTTTTTTTCTTTTAGTTTTCATTTTTAATCTGTATGTCAGAAGGCCTGTTTGTGCCCCTAAGCAATAATATTTAGCTAAATGTAATAATTTTAGCAAAATAAACTAGTCTAATAATGACTCTCAGTTTCTGTCTCCATATTGTTCAGTCACCGGGTTCATGGTGAGGAGGAGGGGGGCTGATCTGTGCCTCTAACTATTAAATATAGATATTTTTCATACAATGGTTTGTAAATACAAATGTAGGTCTGATGTTGACGTCAGAAATCCTTTTTTTATTTATATTTTCATAATTGTCCTCGCAAAAGCAGGAAAAAACTCGCCTCGCCCCTAAACATGCTTTAACTTCATCATTCTGCTAAAAGCCCGGTTCTACAGGCCGTCTGGGTCGGTCCCACCCACAGATAGAAAGAATGTCTGGTTTATATCAGACATTCTGATTAAGACACGGTATCGACTGTCACCGCGAGTCACAGCACAGCTCAAAGCCCCGGTATCACCTGGTACCACCTGCTGACTGTTTACTCTGCTACTCCTTAACGTTACTACCAGGCGGGTTAAAGCCACTGCTGACGGGATTTGGGCTGGAGGTGAACAGCTGTAAATAGAAGTTACTGCAGAATCTCAAGTGTTAAAGATTTGGGCCAGAGCACTTAGAGGTCATAAAATAAATATCAGAGATAATAATGGAGCAATAATTAGAACCGCAGCATAAAGCCAAACATGCCACAATTAAATGAACCAAATGTCCCCAAAGCATCAGTGGACTGACTGGGGCTACCGGGGGATTCCAGGTAGAATCCAGAGATGAGCATCGCAGCGGCTCTTCATGCAGGGCTTGCCCAAGGTAGTATGGGGCCTTAGACAGATACAACCCCCCAAAACCCGGAACCTGCTCTACTAAGAACCTCAAGATCATTAATATGTTTAAATATTGATAAAGTGAATCTGTGAGACGGAGATCAGGTTTATTGGCTGAGTTTAAAATCAGTCACTGATTATTGGTTATTTGCTGTGATGTATTTGTGAACAAACCCAATTAAAACACAAAGATTACACCGTATTGTAGCCATGGTAACACGACAATCAGAACTATCAAGATGACTCTTTAAACTTTTACTAAGTAAACTTCTTAATTAAATCCTAAATGTACTATTTATTTTTCTCAACTGAATGCATGAAATAAAATGTAACAACATTGTCATTCTCAATAAATTATGATACAGGTTTAGATAGATATATGGTCTGTGTTACAAATAAACCATTTCTGGGCCACCAGACATTCAGGGACTTCAGACCTGAATGTCTGGAGGCCCCTGAATGGCCCCTACCAGTAGCTACTGAGTTTTCTTTACCTTGATATTCCAGTCTTATAATTCTAGGTCTCAGATGCTAACATCAAACAATTATATAGAGTTAAACCCCTTTGAGCTTTTTGATGTATAAATCAATCTGCAGCCAAGTTGTTCTAGAGGTTAAATAGATATTATTAGGGCTTAATTAGTAAAATGGCAGAGAATTTTTTTATTCATAACTTCATAATCAGCGACCTTCTTTCCTCCGGTCTGTTTCACAGGTACAGTCTCAGATCAACTCAGCCCTCTGGGACTGTCAGCAGAAATAGGAACATTATACCTGTTGGGGAAAATATGGACTATATTTGCTTTGCATTGTCCACACATGATTGCAATGATATAGTACGATCCAATTAGATTATTGATTAATATGGGTAGTTGCTGTGTTGTTGTATGGTGTTTTTGTTCAATGTGCCCCTTTTTAAATTTGAGTACCTGCCCCTCCAAAGGTCTGCACGGCCCTTAATGCAAAGATGTGCATGAGTCTGACATGAGAAAATGAGGGGAAAAAAATTGCCTTCAAGCTCCACATAAATGATAGCATTTTAAAAAGTAGTAGCTTTCAATGAAATATGTGGATCCATGCATCATGAGACAAAGTATGAACATAGCCTGCAAGACATATTCAGTCTGAGGCCAAAATGCATCACTGGACATGCCTCCGCGGTGCTGGTCATGCTTCATTTCCATTGCATCCTATGGGGGACATTTCTTCATCTGTCTCTCCTTTGGAAGAACAAGCATCTAGCACTTCAAACCCCTGTTGAGTGAGGTCATTGGCTGTGGCTCATTAACATATGTTAGTATTAGTTTTAACTAAGTGGTTTGTATCTCCTCCTCTTATTGCTGGCAGGTTGTAAAAGAATATAATATAACAAAGAAAAATGTACATTTGACCTTACAAAGCTGAAAATTTGTTATTCTGGTAATGTAATGAGACAAATCAAGAGGCTGAAGCTCAAAAGGGGTTCATCAGTAAAATGATAATGCAGCTCCAATATTTGAGCTATGGTACACAGAGAGTAAATGCTGATAAATGGTCTAAAGGTGCAGTCTATTAACCTAACCTAGGACCTTCAGTGGACTTCTTATGGCGTGGTGTTGTTGGGGGAGGGGGCCCCACAATCATATCTATCCTGGCAAAGCACACAGAGACGATATGAGTGCAATGCAAAGTGAAGCAACGTGTGAATCACATTAGCTATGAAGAACAAGTTTCAATATATTCCTCTCACACACACACACACACACACACGCATGCCCACGCACACAGGGACACACGGTGAGTTTGACTTGCTGCATGGATGAAGTGTATACATTTCACTGCTGGACTATATTTTTTGTGGATGTTAGACCTTCGGGGCGTCAGGATTTTGAGGAGGCTAATAAAACTGATAGAAAACAAAAAGACAACAATGTTACACTGGATACTTTTGTGAAGGAGTGAGCTGTACTGTGGTGCTGGATAAAAGCTGCAGATATAGATCTGAATACTGCATATGTAGCTGGACAAATGAAACAGGCAGGTCAATGGCACATGTTTATCACAACATGTGTGTATCCGCTGTGAAGTCCAGATTTCAACCGTGTTCACACCAAGCAGCCCACAGAGTAAAACATGCACTTGCCTGGACTGCAGGTTCTTAATGCGACACAGCATGTCCAGGTGGCCTGCAGAGTACTGCTCAATCACATCCATCACATCATAAGGCCGCAGACTCTCCTTGAACCTCCTCTTTGACACCAAGAACTTCATGACGCTGTGGGGGATGACACCTTGTTTTCACAAACCACATGAATTTATTTGCTATTTAAAATATAGGTGTGATTGGACTTTGGTTTGTGTTTGGACTGAAAGAAGCCATTTATTTCAAACGTGAGAAAAACTAATCAGAGGAGAGACTACTAGGTTCAAACTGTTTTTTATATGAACAAGGGTGAACCAGGAGGGACGTCAGGCTGGTAATAGGAGTCTATCAATGTCTAATATTTAAGGCCAGGACTCTAATGTGTTAAAATGTATCAATTAATTACATACATTTTAACATGTAAAAATTTTAAATGAAATTAATCACATTTATTTTTATGTACAAAAGTGGAGAGGCAGAAACCTTGTATTCGCTTGTTTCTAGTACAGCCGTAAATCTGCCACACAAGAGACATCCACAGAAAACAAAGCCGATTTGCTTGCCTCACTGAGGTTCATTTTTGCTTTAAAAGATAATCTGATGGAACACTGAAGAAGACTGTTACTGTGTAGGAGCTGGCCTTCAAAACTATTCAAGCATAAAATACTCAATGGTAAACATTTTGAAGCAGCACAAATGTCCCCAACACTAATGTCAGCATCGACAGCACACATTTCTAAAGAAGTACTTTTTCAAAGAAGTTACATGAAAGACCACACTTCCTGAAATCTGAATGGGTATAACAGAACTAATTTGATGGCTAAATAACCTAAATATGACAGATTAAAAACAATAAACATCTTTGTTGTTTTATTCATGTCTATTTATTCAATGAAGTGAAAACATTGCTTACTTTGTCAATATATGGTTTTTGATTAAAATGCAATTAATTGTTGATTAATGAATTACAGATCCTGCATTTAATTCAATAAAATTGTTTTAATCTAATCCCACCACAACTATTATTAGCCTATTTTGTTAACATTAGCAAAAAGTATAAATAAAAAAAGAATCCTTACCAAATAGCCCTAATAGTAACTTTGAGTCCTGGAGGTAATTCCTGGGTAAAAAACTCACAGTGACAGCTCTTATCATCACCGATTTCCTCTCCAGGGAGGCTCGCCTCTGGAAAGCAAAGACAAACAGAGGATATATTTTTACCTTTTCTCTCATGTGAACTACAGCAACAGAAGCAAAGCATGGCTCTTGCTTTTATCCTTACAGGTTATACTTTGGTGTTAAGCCAGTAAGCCTGCTATAAATGCAATGAGCAAGCTTTGAGTAGAACCACAGAGTAAAGGATTGTGTGGAGCAGAATTGAAGTATAGAGCTGGAGTGATAAAGGAAGCTACTGAGACCTTTAATGACAAGTACTCTCCAATTATTGGATTAACACAGTCAGCATTGGATTTCACTTGTTTAGCTTAGCCACTGGGCTAAGCTAAACATGCTAAAGGTGTCATATAGGTGTCAAGACCTAACTGCAGAAATAAGTTGAAACTTTTGGGAAAAAAATGGGGCCTTTTCATGCAAAATAAAGCAGGATTTTTGACTACAACATATCTGTGTGAGTTTGTCTTAAAGCTTGACTTGAACCCACAGTTAGCTTAACCTCCCTTTGCTGGGGAGAAAAACAAGCTTCATAATTGTTTGTGTGTTTTCCAATATTGAGTAGAGGTATTAAAATCATACCATGCTCCCAGATATACTCATGCTTTACAGCCTCCAGTCAAAACAAGGAGAAAATAAACAATAGAAAATTAGAGGGGTTCATGTCAAGTCAACAAATTTCAGCATGCAGTTTTCTCAGAAACAGGTAAAGGCAAATTATTTCTTGTTGTTTATATATATATATATATATATATATATATATATATATATATATATATATATATATATATATATATATATATATATATATATATATATATATATATATATATCTGTAGAAGCCAACCAATAAAAAATACTTCCAATATCTTACTTATTAAACCTTCAATTGCTGCAAAGAGAAAAAGAGGAGAAACATGAGGGGAAAAGATTTGTTATGGATTCTGTAGTCGGGTGACAATGGTAGACAAATCTGTTGTTGACATGGATGCATGTGGATCCACTGAATAGTTTCTGATTCAAGTTTAAATTGTCTCTTCTGTCTTATAGCGATCAACTGGTTGGTTAAAATGTACAAAACATTGCACACTAAAGAAACTTACAGATTAAATCAGAGGTAAAAACTCAAGCCATGTCATGGTGACTTGTCTAACCTGGAGAACTCTTCAGTCCAAAGTCTTCATCCTGCATTTCAATCAGCACTTTAACATGTCATGAGGTGAAAGAAGAAAACATAGAGCTTGATGAGAGTTGGTTCAAACTGTTCAACAGAAAACGTAAAGAGATGATGAAGAAACTTTCTAGATTTGTGTCCTGGATGATGCATGGATGTAAAGTGTAGCAGACAGCCATTTTAGTCTATAATCTGGAAAACATTTTTCTAAGGCTGTGAATTTAGAAAAATTATAGACCATCATATAATAAAAAAAATATTAATTTTTATATTAATATTTTATGTCTAATTTAGAGGAAGATGACTTTTTTAAATGAAATTTCAGATGTAAACAAACAGAATAATCTAATCCATTAGTCATGCCCACAGCTTCCTGGTTTGAGCTGGTAAAACGCTGAACTGCTGTTAACTCTGATATGGCTGAACTCTCAGGGCGGAAAGCCCAGTGAATGCTCAATGGAAAAAATTAAATACATTAAAATGACAAATTTTTTCAATAGTTTTTCTGCATGTCCATTCAATAGTCTTGTAAGTTTTGCAATGTAACATATACCAGTAATGATGTAAATAAAACCATAAGAATTCATGTTTTAACATGCCAAATTTAGTACGACTTTGGTATACTTCAAACAAGAAAAATAAATCCAAATATGAGTTTTTATTATTATTATTCAGTTATTAATGAACAATAATCTTTTTTATTTCAAAAATAATAAAGTTCTGTTATGTTCAAGAAAAGACAAAAAAGTAAAAAATTTTTCCACCTAGATCAACCAATTATGCAACAACCGGACCACGTGAAAAAGGTCAATGTTAATGTTTGCAAAGTTTTTAATAACAATGTGCCCATTTCTCAGCATAAACTAATTTAGATCAGTTTGGAGTTGATATTTAGACAGCAGGCTCCTCCAGGCACGCTGCCCTGCATGTTTTAGGCATTTCTCTGCTCCTGATTCAGCCTGTTAATCTGCCATTAGTAGGTTCAAGTGAGCTGAAGCAGAGGAACACATCAAACAGAGGACGTCTACTTTTAGAAACATTTCTTCTCCAACACACCTGAATCAAATGAATAGCTCTGTCTTTGGCCTTATTAAGGTAATAATAACTGAATGATGTTTCACACAAAACTGTTTTTGTTGTTACTGCATACCATTGGTTATAAGAAAATGACACAAAAAAATCAGTTGGTAAGAAAACAAATGCATATTATTGAATGTTGCATTCAATATTTACTGAAAATGAAGACAAGGATGTAATTTGCAGATTTATGACAAAATAATATTTGTTTCATTGGTTCCCTCCTGTTATATATTTTCAAAGCAGATATTTCACTAAAATCAAGAAAACTGTAAAAACCTGACTTTTCATTCAATTTATAGTTATTTTTATGTAATATTTGTCTATAGCTGTGGAGGTGCCAAGGAGGTCTGGAGCCAGCATTGTCAACCATCGAGAACGATGACACGAACCCAGGACTAAAAAACAAATCTTACTCAGTTATGAAAACACTGAAACAGTGACTGCCACAGCATTGAACCAGGAGGTCAGTTTAGTTGCTGTTTTTGATTTGATCTTTCATCTGGATAAAATGGATTCTTATTAGACTGAATGGGATAAAACTGTCATGCTATGCCTTTATTTTCCTCAATAAAATAGATTATATTTTATTTTCAATGATTGGATATAACCGTCTAAGTCACATAGGTCAAAATCAAGGCCCAATTATCTGTAGCCCTGAGCATAATATTTAATTACCTGATGTTTTGCACGCACCAACACTACATTCCCCACAATCCAATGGTAGCCCTCGAAGTCACTGAAGCACGAGCTGGTTCATTATTCATCAGCAATCAGAGCAGAGATCAACTTTCAGGTACCTACTCCTCAAAAATGGCTGTTCATTTAGTGGACGCTGAGAACAGAGGGTTTCAGGTCAGGAGGGAGGCAGACAGTGATGTCCACTTCTTTCAGTAACGAGTAATCTAACGCGTTTCTATTTCAAATCAGGTAGTCAGACTACACTGGAAAAAGTGTGGCCTTGCTTAAAGTAAAAAATTTGATGTCCATTTATTGCATCTAAAATATTTGACTTCACAGAATGGAAATAAAGTTGTTTGGTACAACATGGCTATTTAATTTTGATTCAAACCATATTATTGTACTTGAGCCAATATTAATTCTTCACCTTTATCCAAGTTAAATTATTTACATTTCAGTTTTGGAACCAAAGTAAAATATTTACATTGAACCAATCAAATATATATACATTGCACCAAAGTAATATTCAGGCATTAGCACGAGTTAATTCATTTTCACCATGAAAGTCTTTTTTTATATTTCAGAAATGTGGTTTAAAAAACTATTTGCTAACCCTGATGGCTGGGCGACCGGTTGATTTCTGGCTAAACGTAGCCAGAAATCAAAACAAGAAAAGTCTTTCAGAAAGTTGGTTTCTGTCCGACAGCGACGATCATGGCTTAAGAGGAGCCCCAAAGAGTGTGTGTGTGTGTGTGTGTGTGTGTGTGTGTACAGCATCTACATATATACACACACAGTGTGTTTATATTGCATTTTTAAAAATTAATACACAATTAATACACTCCAGCAACATTTTTTCAAAGTCATTTATTCCTCACAAGTAAAAAAGGAGAAAAAAAAGTGGAATGTTCAGACAAACAAATATAAACATGTCATTGTTGCTCAGAGCAATGAAATAAAGACAATATGGCTTACCAAGCTAAATTAAATGGATGGAAAACATCCACTGTTGTACTGTTCAAACACATGAAGGAATGTTGCATCTCTAAACATCATCAAAGAAGTAAAATTCCAACAAAAGCAGTCCATGAAAGTGACACCGTGAGCCTGTATAACAAAGTGCTGCTGAGGTAGTCTACTTCTTAAATAGAAGCCAGTGGCAACTACATGCACACATTAAGCACACACAAATATACACCACTGTGCAGTTTTGAGTTCACCACTGAGTTTGCGAATATTGGAAGTCATCTTGTTGGAACCAAGCTCCATCAGGATCTTCCAAAGGGCATCAAAGGTGAACCTGAAACCCTGTGGATACTCCATGATAAGAGCATAGCAAAGTCCAAAGAGCATTACAACTCTGGCTGCAACAGAAGGCAACTCATTGAGGACTTCCACACCATCAATGACAATCCCAACGTCTTGGGGCTGCTGTAGAAGGCTTGAATTCTCTCTGAAGACAAAGTCTGCCATGATGGTCCTCTACAGCTCCTGCTCGGCTTGACCTTTCTGGGAGACCTGAGGCAAAATATACGACATTATGCAACTGAACAACTGCAGTCTGGCACACCTCATTAATCACTATATACTGTATAATGGCATAGGTGGTCTCCTGTGATGAATAAAGTTGAATCATCATTGTGACAGAAAATATCTGGACATACCATGTATTCCTTTATAAGGTCCTCAACACGTTCTCCCAGGTAGATGATGAGAGCTTTGAGGATACACTCCCTTCTGAAATCTGCATCAGCACCCTTTAGGGACAATCAAAATGGTTATTATGCAATGTGTAGACTAATCTAGCAACTTAATTCTCAGCTCTACCATAAACAGTGCTTTTACAGTGTGCGCCTGGTCAATATTGAATCCATGGCAGACTAATTCAAAGCAGTGAAAATGTAAAGCCATTCTAGTACATCTGCCAGAGGCCACTGGTAGTCCCTCTTTAAATATGAAGACAGACTGGATGGCTCCTGTTTTGGTTCCTACAGTCTCAAAGTATCTTTGGTGCAGTGACAGGTGCACAAATTATTACTACACATTGACGTACTCATAAGTGGCACATGTTTTTCTTTTTTTAAATGGTTGGTATAAACACACTAGACGAACTAATTGCTAACATGGCTTAATATGCTGAGCTAGTCAAGTTCACGGTGTAGCCGAGCGAACCGTGGTGGAAGCGATTGATTGGTAACGAATTATGCCTACCTTGATTAATTCCAGCTACAACCGAACAATGTACACATAGTGATATTTCTCGTGAAATACGTGTAAGTTCAGAAATGACACCACATTTAACCCGGCGAAAAAAGAAAGCGTTTACTGGGATACCCATATTTAGGCGGGACCTTCAGCTTGCTAACCAGGTGACATTAACTCAGTCTTTTGCATTAATACAATTGTAGGCTTGTTAAGACATCAGCTTAGGTTAGTACTTACCGCAGGTTTATTCTTCGATTAAATGCTAGGACGTTGATCATTCTTTCTTCCCCATGCCGAAACGGATGATGCTCTCCAAGCACTTCTCCACAACTTCTTCTCACGTGACTCAGATTCACATTATTACATCATTTCCTGTCAGTATGTTTTGAGAGGAATCAAAATATTTGCTTTCTTTCCTTCAGAAGTGTGATTAATTCAGTCTGAATCAAAATTGACACCTCATAATGCAAAAAAATTGACTTTCACCATATAGTCAATTATTTTACAATGTATTCAATGGTAGTTATTAGCTTGAATGAAGAGTTCCGTGCATCACTTTTTACAGTGTAGAGTTACTTATCGAAACCACTTTGCGTGACTATTTTCTTTTGTAATTTTATTTCCTCTACCCGTCTTGGGGAGTGACCGCAGTTTCTATGCTACATTGTTAGCAGCGACAGAAACAATGGAGGGAGATGTGCATTTTGTTGCCGAAAATAAACTATTTTGAAACGCCAATTCCGTTTATTGCGGCTTTGGGTTTGTTTTTTCTTTCTAAAGTCGCTTGCAGATTTAATGAGTCGCGGTTTTTGGGCTTAATAAGCAGACATCAACCCCAGAATTTGTCTGACATCCAGTTAGTTTCAGTCCATCATTTCCCGGATGATCCGTCCCGCTGTGTCTTTGTTAATGTCAAGTTGACGTATTACCTCTGAATGACGTCAAGCTTCGCGTTGCGCTCCAGAAAACCGAAAACATCGAGACTGATACGAACAGCGCAATAAACGTGAAAACAGCTACGAATGAACACGTCCGTAAAGCTGTGCGACTAAACATCATTATAATTATCAATATTAATATAAGTGTCACTAATCTGTGCGGTCATCTGAGTTATAGAGCCGCAGGAGGAGATCTGTTCACTGCGCTGTAACAACAAACACAGGGCCTTAATGCACAACCTGGAGGATGGGGGCAGGATGGTGGCTTTAAAAATCCTTCTTAGAGTTTTCCATACAATAGTGGACCACACGAAAACATGCACAAATGAATTTCCACACAGAAGTCGCTCCGGAGTATAAGTCGCAACCCCGGCCAAACTATAAAAAAACTGTGACTTATAGTCCGGAAAATACGGACTTTGTATTTGTATTTGCTTTGCTAATTCTCACAGGTTTGTCACTCTGCTGAAGATGTTTTATCCCTTTGGCCAGATGTCTTCTCCAGCCACTGCATTTTGTTCTGTCTGCCTCTGCGTGCTAAGATGCACAATACCCCCAGAAGCATCAGACATCACTCCAAATAATTGAATTGAAATGGTATTAATAAATGGTCTTAATACGCTTGCTCTCGGAAGGGCAAGCGTTTAAAATAAAGCACCCAGGCATTGCTTCTACAAACATTTGGTAAAGAATGGCTTGTGATCAGGAGTTCAGTGTGGCTCCAGCATCCAGACATTTCAACACTAAGTACAATCCAAAGGGCAGTGATGTTTTAGAGTGCACACTCCAGCTGGACTATGAAACAACAAAACATGACCTGTAAAAGTGACAAATCACACCTCCCTCTCCTTAGTCATTTTGAGCCTGGGTGAACCAGTTGTCAGGTAAACAACACAACCCTGAATGCAATGTGTCAAGTGCAACATCAGGTCCAGAGAGGAGCGTAATGAGGGGCTGTTTTCAGAAGTTGTGTTGGCCGCTTAGTTCCATTACAACAAACAATTTTAATGTTTAATCATTTTAGACAGTTTCATGACTCTTAAGACAGGGCAGGGATGGACTTTCCTGTTTCAATATGACTCATTGCACCAAAGGAGCATGTGAATGGGTTTGGTGTTGTCTGGCCTCCACATGTTCTTCACTTGAACCAGTTCCTCCAACATCAGTAGCTGGGTTTCCATTGACCATGAAACTGGGCAAACTAAAATTCTGAAAATAAATATGCTTTGTGGGAAAATGGCAATTAAATTCTTTTGATAAAACGTTTTTCAGTAAGATCAAAACACTTTCTTTGTGCTACTGGGGAAATCCATGAATAAGAAGACGACAGGAAGTGATTAACCTGTAGTTTATTGTCTCATAATGACATGATGTCGGTCACGCTTAACAGATAAAAAGTTAATAAATTTTTGTCCCCTGATCTCAATAAAAATCACTGAAAATAATATATACTGTCCTCATCTCAGCTGCACTCTTTGTTATTCAGTTTTACAGCATTTTGTTTTCTTACCATCTGAGTTTTGGCGAGAGGCGCCACCTCGGACTCTGCTCCAGCTCTTGGTGCCTTTGCTTGGGCTGGCTTCAGTCCCGTCTTCTGCCCCCGGAGAGGGTGCTTTCCCCTTAACCATGGGGGGTTTGGAAGGACTGGGAAACACCTTGTCCTTCAGACTGGCTTTTCGACTGCGCAGAGCAAGTAACAAGAAGTAATATTCAATGAATATGACTTATTTTTTGCTGTAAATCATGCCCAAATAAAAATACCATATAAAATGTATTTATCTTTGTTGTTTTTTGCAAAACCATTGATAAATTAGCACTTGCAATAATTTTCCTTACCTCAGAAGAAACTCAAAAAGGCCAAAATCCTACAGCAGAAGGACCCATGTCCACATACGAGCATGGTGGAGCATTGAGTCGGTCAGGCAAGCAGCAAGAAAGCTACAAGCGGGCATGCATGTGAAGCAAAGTTGCAGCTGTGGTCTCACTCTATGCAAAAAAAATAAAAATTAAAAAAGTGAACACTAATCATGCAAAAAATAAAAATAAATCACCCTGATACTGTATGTCTGTCAGATACTCTGGAGCTGTTAGGCACTCAGCAGTATACAGCTGCCTGCTGAACAGAGTTTCACAATGGCTGATCTGGCAAAAAAAAAAAAAGGCAGCAAGCAAATTAACTGCATAAAGACATTACTAAACAAAACCATAAATCAACAGTGGTAGGGACCTAAACAGGGGGTGAATATCTGCCTGTTCTCTGAGGGGGGAAAAACACTTGAAAGATTTAGGAACAGTAGCTTTTGGTTTTTATTTACAGATCGCTGAGAGAACTTCTACATCCTTATAATCATCTAGTTCAATCTTGACCTAAAAACACATGTACTCATTGTTGAGCCATCTCTGTTCAGCTTTAGTTCGTAGAAAGAAGGAAACAAGGTGGGGAATAAAGAAAACACAAAAACTTGCGATGCAGCTGTTAGTATCTGTGCAGCAACTATACCTAAGAGTTCTTGGACAGCACCCACAAAGTCTGTCTTTGTGTGCATTTTCACTACTGGAGTGGTGGGCAGTAGAGGAGACACAAAAAGATACAACAGCAGTGGAGACAGTCACAAAAACACCAGAGTGTGCCATAATATGATGCCAGTAACACTTTACTATAACCACAGTGTGAAATTCAATTTAATTCACTATCCTTTTTTTAATGGTTTTCATTATGTTTTTTTTTAAATTATGTTCCAGTTTTCAACAAAATTTTAATTATCTAACTAAGGCGTTAGCTATGATAAAGTGTTACAACATTGTCAATTATTTCACATGTTTTTTTGACCAAAAACAGTGATGTACAGTTCAAGCGCAGCTCTTAAAGTGATCCAAAGAAATAGTGCTGAGGCAAAGCTGGAAGCTGGAGGGATGGGGTCAAAGAGCAGCTTCTTTGTGAATATTTAGGGTGGCCAGGAGCCCCTCTTATGTGAGACTGAAAAACTGTTCAATACCCATCCATCCATCCATCCATCCATCCATCCATCCATCCATCCATCCATCCATCCATCCATCCATCCATCCATCCATCCATCCATCCATCCATCCAACCAACCATCCATCCATCCATCCATCCATCATCTGTTCACCCTTGTCCCTAGTGGGGTCAGGAGTTGCTGGTGCCTATCTCCAGCTGCGCTGTGAGCGAGAGGCAGGTCACCAGCCTGTTGCGGAGCAAGTTTAATTCCTTATCTTACAATTTCAGAAATTGTCCACCTTTCAGAAGCAAAGCAGCAGGCACCACTTACAAATAGGAATGTACTGAGGGGTGTCAGATTATAAAGGACTGCTACATGTTCTGGTTTTTGTTTGGTAATTTTTTTTTTTAAACAAGGTGTTTGGCACCCACTCTTAAAGGGAGATAATGAACTGTATTCACATGTAGACAATGAGATTTTAGCAATATTATTAGATTCCCATGTATGATCAGAGATTTCGGAAACAAACCAACTCTATGTAATAATGTAATTACATAATCTGTAATCACTGAGGAATATTTTGTCTTCAAGTTCTTACTAAATAAAAACTTCACTTACTGGGAAGTTACCATTGGATTAAGAATTTCTTTTTCAAGGGAGAGCATAGCAAAGTAGATTTTTAGTTTAGCTTTAAGTTAAAAATCAAATGCTAACTTCACCGTTGCTAGCAGCTAGTCTATAAATATATTACAATAGGGCTCAAAAATCATTTGTGTCTTGTCTTTTGCTGGTTTTATTTTATCAAGATCAAAAAGTTTGAAGTGGTGGAAACTTCTTCTGTGTTTTGGTAGCAAACTCTTGTGAGCTAGCTAAGAAACTAGCTGACAACAGCCAGAGTTCTTTACTAGTTGACTCTGCCTAACAACAGAAGCATCTGCTTCCTCTCTTCAAAATAAGTCATTAACATGTAGATTCAACAAGGTGCCAAGCGGACAGCAGTAAGAGCTGTGTCCACAGCCCAATAAAAGGAGCTCAGAATTATTTTCAAACTACAGATAAAAATGTATTACCCATGATGTCATTTGTCTGTAACTGACAACTTCAGCAGTAGCAACTGAAGTTATTGCCAAACTGCAAAACACTGTGGCACTATTAGACAAATTTTTCTCAGATTTTCCTTTCCTTGCCTACGGATCCTCCATACACAGTCTCACAGTGAGTTCGTCGGGATCTGGTCACCCTGTGAATATCTCGTAAAGCTGTGAGAGGCCAGACTGAGCTGATCTTTGAGCGAGAGAGCAAATGCAGCAAGACCATTCTTGAAGGAGGCACTTATCGCTCAGCCACAATCAGATCTAACACACACACGCACCCACGCACGCACACGCAAACACACATATACTTTGCACACTCTTCCCCCAAGAAGAGTGCCTCAGCAGCATCTAAGAGCCAAATTGAAGTGAAGCCAAAGGAAGGCGAAAGAGGAAAATAAAAAGGAATCATGTCACATACCTGGGTGAGGTTTCTGCCTGAGAATCTTTCCTGTAAGGAGAAAATAGGAACAAACTATCAGCTGCAGCTTCTCTGCGTTAGTAAATCCAGTAAAACCCAGCATCACTCCATGATGCTAGGGTGGAGTTTCTTTAGAACTACAATTGAAAAAACACAAGAAGAGGACATCAATTATTGGACTAGGAACATTTTATTTCCAGCAGTAACAGCACAACATGTGGATCTGCAAGATTTTTTTTGTTTTCAAATATAAAGAAAAAACAAAATGTGAAATAAATTATGCCAGGAGTACAACATTCATATCTTCTTACAGGATTTTGGTTTGTATTCTTGGAAAAAGTGAATAAGTATATTCGGATGTAGTTAGCCAAAACTATAAAAAAATCAAATAAATAAATGGTTGATGATGACAGAAATTTACATTTGTAAACATGAAATTTGCCAAATATCATAATTAGATTAATTGCCAATCATTCAGCTGCATTTATTTTCTTTCCATAAAAATAAAAAATAATATGCCTATACAGTAGTGAAAATATTGTATCAGTATTACAGTACAAATAATAAAGTAATTATTTTCAAAATGTTCCAGAATAAATGATGTCTCCTATGAAACACATACCAACCAGCAGGGGCAGCAGTAACTGCATGAGTTTTACCAGTTACTCATTCACTGATGGACACACAGGTGAAGTGGTGAAATGCTTAAACACATTCACATACTGGTAGCACTGTTGCCTAGCAACCAGAAGGTTGTGAGTTTGAATCCCAACCTATGTTTACTGCATGGAGTTAGCATACTGTCACTGTTCATGCATTTTTCTCACAGTCCAGAAAAATGGACTGTGAGAAATGACAGGTTAACATATAATATACATAAATTGTATTCCTACCTGAATGACTTTCCCTTCAGATTCCTCAGCAGGTCCAGTTGATTCAGCGGTGGGATGATTCTGGGAACACACAAATAGGATTGTATCATTCTGTCAAGATGGTTTGATAAATTTAAAGTGGCTAAAGCTTGCCTTCAGGGTCCTTTCAAGCGCACATCTAATCTGGCGACCCTTTCACCTCAAATTACGATTTAAGGTGAGAAACAGGACAAGATATTTCCAACACACCTTGAAAGTCATAAATCTGTTGTGTGAAAGTGAAACTTAATGCTTTTTTTCTGAGTCAATGTAGCACTGGACATCAAATTAATTTCTCAAAGTGGCTGCTAGGAGAATTGTTTTTTAAAATGTCTTTCAGACAGATACAGTTAGGGCCAGAAATATTTGGACAGTAACACAATATTTGTGAGTTGGGCTCTGCATGCCACCGCATTGGATTTGAAATGAAACCTCTACAACAGAATTCAAGTGCAGATTGTAACGTTTAATTTAAAGGGTTGAACAAAAATATCTGATAGAAAATGTAGGAATTGTACACATTTGTTTACAAACACTCCACATTTTAGGAGCTCAAAAGTAATTGGACATATAAACATAACCCAAACAAAAAGTTTTTTCTCAATATTTTGTTGCGAATCCTTTGGAGGCAATCACTGCCTTAAGTCTGGAACCCATGGACATCACCAAACGCTGGGTTTCCTCCTTCTTAATGCTTTGCCAGGCCTTTACAGCCGCAGCCTTCAGGTCTTGCTTGTTAGTGGGTCTTTCCGTCTGAAGTCTGGATTTGAGCAAGTGAAATGCATGCTCAATTGGGTTAAGATCTGGTGATTGACTTGGCCATTGCAGAATATTCCACCTTTTTGCTCTCATGAACTCCTGGGTAGCTTTGGCTGTATGATTGGGGTCATTATCCATCTGTACTGTGAAGCGCCGTCCGATCAACTTTGCAGCATTTGGCTGAATCTGGGCTGACAGTATATCCCGGTACACTTCAGAATTCATCCGGCTACTCTTGTCTGCTGTTATGTCATCAATAAACACAAGTGACCCAGTGCCATTGAAAGCCATGCATGCCCATGCCATCACGTTGCCTCCACCATGTTTTACAGAGGATGTGGTGTGCCTTGGATCATGTGCCATTCCCTTTCTTCTCCAAACTTTTTTCTTCCCATCATTCTGGTACAGGTTGATCTTTGTCTCATCTGTCCATAGAATACTTTTCCAGAACTGGGCTGGCGTCTTGAGGTGTTTATGGGCAAATTTAACTCTGGCCTGTCTATTTTTGGAATTGATGAATGGTTTGCATCTACATGTGAACCCTTTGTATTTGCTTTCATGGAGTCTTCTCTTTACTGTTGACTTAGAGACAGATACACCTACTTCTCTGAGAGTGTTCTGGACCTCAGTTGATGTTGTGAACGGGTCCTTCTTCACCATGCAGCGATCATCCACCACTGTTGTCTTCCGTGGACGCCCAGGCCTTTTTGAGTTCCCAAGCTCACCAGTCAATTCCTTTTTCCTCAGAATGTACCAGACTGTTGATTTTGCTACTCCAAGCATGTCTGCTATCTCTCTGATGGATTTTTTCTTTTTTTCAGCCTCAGGATGTTCTGCTTCACCTCAATTGAGAGCTCCTTTGACCGCATGTTGTCTGGTCACAGCAACAGCTTCCAAATGCAAAACCACACACCTGGAAACAACCCCAGACCTTTTAACTACTTACTTGATTACAGGTTAACGAGGGAAAGGCCTTTTGAGTTACTTGCAGCCTTTGGAGTCCATTGTCCAATTACTTTTGGTCCCTTGAAAAAGAGGAGGCTCTGCATTACAGAGCTATGATTCCTAAACCCTTTCTCCGATTTGGATGTGGAAACTCTCATATTGCAGCTGGGAGTGTGCACTTTCAGCCCATATTATATATAAATTGTATTTCTGAACATATTTTTGTCAACAGCTAAAATAACAAAACCTGTGTCACTGTCCAAATATTTCTGGCCCTAACTGTATTTCTGCCAAAGCTCTGTTGGGCGAACAGACAGCCACACCCGATCCCACAGAAAAACTCCGGATGAGAAAAGGATAGTCTGCGTTCTACCATGCTTACAACACCAATAATGGTAGCAGAATGTGATACAGTAAAACAATAGAATTTTCGGAAAACTTGAGTAAGCAAGCTGTGCTTGTAAGCCATCTCTGACCTGTACATGGGAACAGCGACAGTCTGCTCGTAAAAATCCCAAGTGCACAGCAAATCTGTACGGGAGAGGTTAGTGGCATGAAACCTCCAGGCAGCCTGCAGGGAAATAGTTTTACTTTAGTGTAAGCAGAAAACAGAATTTGGTCTGTATATGATGTGATGAAGTTTTTTTTTGACGGATACCTGGATGAGGCCTGCTGCAGGGTTACGCCGCTTCTCAAAGTGTTTCTGTCTGTGCTGCTCCTGAACTTTGAGGGCGAAGCCAGAGCCCAGGATGCCCTAATCAGAAAAAGATTGAGTTTAATCTGAAAGCGAAAGTACGTTACACCCTGAAATAATCACTGAACTGAAATGAGTGAAACTGCAGGTGATTTTCTCTGGGGAGAAAGTCAACCTTCATGAATGCACATCCAGAGAAATGCCGTTGACAGAACTAGATCTACGGTCTTTAATGAAGATATAAAGCAGCAGAGTCACATCAGCAGGAACTCAGCCAATGTTTGGGTTTAAAGCTTTCCCCACAAACTAACACACTTACAGCAGGAAGGGCAAAGAAAGCCACGCCTATCATGCTGAATGCAGCTCCCAGCAAGCGTCCATTCCACGTTTTGGGAACTTTATCACCATAACCGATGGTGGTGAGAGTGATCTGACAGAAAAAAGGAGAAATAAATGATAAAAATACAAAAATGGCTATCTAATTCAGGTGTATTGATCAAGAGATCTCTAAGTGAAACATCATTCACATTTTTTCTGTTTCAAAACATTTCTTTTCACTTCCAATTTCTTTGTTTCAAACTTTTTTCAGTTTCAATTTCTTTTTTCTTTTGAACAAACATTATGGCCCCATATACATCTATAACAACAGCACAGTTATTCTGCCTTACCAGTCCCCACCACAGAGCATCAGCATATGTTTCAAACTCCTCATTGGACTCTTTTTCTACAGAATAGACCAAGAAGGAAGCCAGGATGAGGCACAGGAAACCAATATACCAGGCTGTGATGAGCTCCTGCAGGGGAAAACAGTACAGTGAGTATAAGAAGACATAAAGTAATAAGGTGGCATCAAAACAGGAGGCTACTGTCGACTGGTAAAACAATCAGCACATAATAATATTGGACACAATGATGTGAGCCCAAATCCCTAAGTTGTGTTTCATAAATGTATTTATTTCCCTTGGTCACAAACATCTTGTTTCAACTTGTCGCCTGCCATGAAAACAGCAGCAACGCCTGTAAGTGCAAGCCAACCATCTTGTTGAAAGCACATTAACTACGTTTCCTCTCCACAGCAGAACTTGCGTGTCAGAGTGGGCACAACTGAATGCAGCAGCATTTCGCTATCAGAAAGTAAGAAAAGTTAAAAACTCAAAAGAAGTTCCAGTTACCAAGACAAAAAGATTGTAAATTTAATTCCAGATTTCTTCACCAGATATACATGCTCACACACTAGCTGAGCGTTTTCTAGCTGGAGATCGGAAAACCAAATAGATTTATTATTTCCCAAATACAAGCTGATTAAATTATGTTTATTTCCCTTTTTTTGTGTTTAAAAAGACTAAAAGAACATCATTACAAAACCAAATCTGCTGTTTGAAAATGATGAGATAATTTAACAGAAAAAACAATGTGAGCAAAAACAATTCACTAGTGAAGTATTTATAATTCTCAGTAAAATAATATAGTGAACTGCCGCCACCATTTCACAGTTCTGTATTTGGAAATTCACCAACAAGTTTCTGTAAAACATGACTCCAAGTTGTTTGGAGAAAACTTACATATTCATAGTTGTTATTGCAAAGTTTAAGAAAATACAGTTTAGGAAAGTGAAGATAAACATCAGAGGAAAGCCGTTGTGGTAGATGTAGCAATACCAAGTGATTGCAACATCAGGAAAAAGGAGCACGAGAAACTGGAGAAATACCAGGGCCTCAGGAACTGGAGAGGGCCTGGAAGGTGAAGACCACAGTGGTGCCTGTGGTCATCCGGGCCCTCGGGGCAGTAACCCCCAAACTGGAGCAGTGGCTACAACAGATCCCAGGAACAACATCAGACATCTCAGTCCAGAAATGTGCAGTCCTAGGCACAAGATACTGCAGGACCCTCAAGCTCCCAGGCCTCTGGTAGAGGACCCAAGCTCAGAGGATAAGAACCACCCGCGGTGGGTGAGAAGGGAATTTTTATATATATATATATATATATATATATATATATATATATATATATATATATATATATATATATATATATATATATATAAATATATATATATAAATATATATATATATTTATATTTTAAACTGTCACCATGTTGTGACAGTTTGTTACTCTGTAAAATAAAAAAAAAGAAGAAAATAAAATCAAGCTCCTCAGCCTTCTCCCAGTGCAAACTGACAAACAACCAATCGGAGCCAGGAGGCGGGTCTTGGCGCTGTTAATCATAATCTCATGTGGCTGCTCATCTCCCCTTCCCTGAGCCTCTTGCTCTCTGCTAGGCTGCATCAATCATAGTCTGTTGTGAATGCTGATGGTATATATCATAGCCAGTGATATCAGTGGGTAAAGAGTTGTTTCTCCACTTTTAGGACATTGAGCAGCAAGTGCATGAGGATGAGTGGCAGCATGGACCTGATTGGTTATTTTTTGTGCATTTCTAAAGATTACAATGGCAACTCATGGAGGAGGTAGAGGAGATCGATGTTTTCACAGATTATTTGTCTCATAACAAACTGTCAGGACATGGTGACAGTTTTAACAAATATGTAAAAAAAAAAACATTTTATAAAGTTACGTACTGCAGCTTTAACGCCAAGCTCACCTTGCTATGGGCATAAACAACAGATCCGAGGAGCTTCCAGGTGCCTCCACGGCGGTCCATCCGAAGCATACGCAGGATCTGCAGGAATCTCAAACTCCTGATGGCTGAGGTGGCAAAGACATTCCCCTGAGATCCAGCTGCCAGCACCGACACAGAGGCGATCAGCACCATTATGTCTGAGGAGACAACCACAAGATGATATCTGATATAATTAATCCTGTTCTATAAAACAACATTTAACATATTATATGTATATAATATGTAATATATATATATTTTGTATATATATATATATATATATATATATATATATATATATATATATATATATATATATCAGGAACATTCACAATCCTTGAAGAATGTTGTGATCATTCTTCAAGGATTAATTGCGAGGAACATTGAAATAAAAATCCAAAAAGTCTGAGTTAAAATAATTGGCAAAACAAACTCGTTTCCTCACCTATGACACAGAAAGGCTTTCTGGCAAACTTTAACCTCCCCCTCCATCCTCTGTAGCGACAGCAACATCCAGCGGCCCATATCCGCACAATGTACTCAACTCCAAAAACCACAATGGTCACAATCTCCTACAAAGCAAATGAAAACCAGGAAGTCTGTGATTTGAATTTGAAGATGACAAGAAAAATGAGCTTGTCTACCAGACTGCTTAGAGTTTAATGCTGAATCAGTTCTTAAATAATTATCAAAAGATTCGGAACAGTCTGAGTTTATTTGCAATTTCTTAAGAAGTGTTAAAGAAGACTGTGGGAGGGAGCAGCTCTTTACAGTATTTACAACAGTTAGACTTTGAAAGTTTCTGTGGCTAAGAGTCAAAACATAAAGCGGCACATACCAAGATGTACAAAGCGTTTTCTGAGTTGTCTTTATATTCTTTGATGGTGGCAAACACTGACAGGATAAGGCAGGAGAAGACCAAAAAGAAGCTGAAAAAGGTGACAGAGAGAGACTTAGTGTAATTAGTTAGTTAAATGACAGGAATCACAGTTTGCTTCAACAAGGCGGATCAAACGATTTTCTACAAAACCTCACCAGAAACTCAGCAGATTAGAATGTACAAGAAAATATTCACAATTTTTGTCAAACATTCTACCAAGAGATACAACACAAATTTCTAGAAGAAATTCCAGCATCAAAAACTTCATTGTTTTCAATGAATGGTTTTTATTTTATAAATTAAACTCCAGGAGAGGCTTGATGATCATGTTTGAAAGCTTTGTTGAGAATCCAGTAGGTCAGTGGTGCAGAATGAGAAACAGCTGGTGCTTTTGATTTCTGTAGTTAGCATAGCTCCAAAAGTAGTGTTTTCCTCGTAAGGCTCTGTTACTGAATTGTTGTGCCATTAGTGTGGAAGTTTCTTTTTGACTTACATTTTCTGATATGAATCCTTTAGCTTTGTTCTCTGACTCCGCAAACACTCCACTGATCAAATCAATTTAAAATGTTGCCTGACAGCCTGATAGTTTTTGAGATGGTATCATATTCATGTTAACAATTCTAATTGCAACAATGAAGTTAGATATGCTGTTATTATTAGTCTGTAGGTAAGGAGTTAATAAACCTCTAAGATTTTGGTGATAATGAAGGTTCCTATTGTTGCTCATTAAAACAATAAGCCTAAAATAGGCACCATGCATCTTCTGTAACATTAAAGGCAGAATACACAAACATATAAAGGCACATTTAATTTATGAAACTTTATCCAGTCCATTTTAAGCTTTTCTTTCAACTTCAACTGTTTTCTCACTTTTTTCAGTGCATTCCATGACATCATATCAATCAGGTTGAACTTAAAAAATACAAAATGAATAAATATTTCCCTACATTAGATGAACAGAATCTGAAATAAATGAAACAGGGGAAAGCTTCAGCAAAGACATAAAACCAGACCTGTGAGGTGAAATCATCTGATTATCTACTGTTTACAAAGCTTTTACTTCCTTGTTTTTGTTTTAAATAAATAAATTAATAATAATAATAATAATAATAATAATAATAATAATAATAATATAATAATAATAATAATAATAATAATAATAATAATAATAATAATAATAAAGTATACTATAGTATGTATGTCTGTCAAACTGTGTCATTCAAGGTCAGTTAAAGAAATAGGCACAGTCACCTTGGCAATAAAAGGAATATGCTTTGTGGTGTTAAATTTGCTGCTGTGTATTCTCTGAATCCCTTGAGTTGTCTGCTGACGTCTTGCAGTCTGGAAACAAAACCTTCCATTTCCAATACTCAGACTTGTCACCTAAACACAAACACTGCTTTGTAGAGTGATATAACTGCTGTGAGACTGCTGCCTTGCACTGCGTGATACTGTAAATATATATGATACTCATTATCTGAGTATCTATGATGTCACCAGGCAGACATTTCACAAAGTCAGCAGAAAAATCAACATTCAGTTCATGAAACACATAAATTGCAACTGGTCACAGGAAGTAAGGCATTAGATGCTGCTGGCTGAAGACGTTGCTGGCTGAAGACGCTGCTGGCTGCAGGATGAAAATCGTTCCTACCTCGATTTGCCAAGTTCATCAGTAGCTGCTAAAGAGGAAGCCTGCGGATAGCAGAGAGGGACATAATCTGCCTCCAGCTTCTCCACACACCCCAACTATCCATCAGGCTACCGTCAGCTGAGCACGGCTCCAAAAGATTGGAGTCATCATTAAGTGGAAAGCAGAGTCAAATCAAAGTCCTGAAAAACAATTTTATGTGAATTAGAAAGATAATTCTTTCATAAATCCCTGTTGGGTTTGTAGCTTCCGCTAGCTCTGCTTCACATAGGACCAGGAAAAAAAGTTAGCCTGGTTTTTACCATATGAATAGCTTTTAATGTGGTAAGGTTTATACACTTTATGTTTTTGCATTACTTAAGTTACTTATATATTTAGCTTCGATTTCATCTTCATATGTGAGTGTTAGCATTATCACAGGATGCAAGCTCAGCTGGAGGATTTTGCATTTCAGATTCATGATAACTTGAGCAGGCAATATTAAAATAATGTATCTTGATTAATCAATTTTGTTTCTAAAACATGTCATTTAAGAACGCCTTTTTGGAAATGTGTCATCAGTATAGTAAGAACAATATAGTAAAAGTTTTTATCAGTTTAGAAATTTTTTTATAGTTTCTGAATTGGTGAAGCGTGCTGAAGAAGATGAGGTGGTGTTGAAAATGGATTGATTAATAAAAATCTCATTAATATGAATGTCATTACGAGTTCAGTTTTGCTTAAGAAATAGTAAATCCTAACCCAACATTTCACATCATGTTTCAAACAAAAATTAACTTAAACATAAAAACACCTCATTCCTAAGTCCAGCAAAAAATGCTGCAATGAGTACGAATGTCCACTTGTCCAGACCTCAGGAATGTGATGGTAGACTGGTCAGGGTGAATAGTTGTTGTTGCTGAACAATTTGCTTTTCCTTCTGGGCTGCACACAAAAAAACATAGATCTGTGGTTCTGAGCACAATGACACCAAACGGCCTTATCAATAAATAGGTGATTTGGTGATAAGGCCGGGTTTGTCCTGCTGGACAAATCCAGCGTTTATCCTGCAACAAACCCAGCAGGACTACATGGAGACGGTCTCCACTGACCACACACAGAAACAGGCAGCAGTAGCGTGTGGTCAATTCATGACTCTCTGAGGGATTATTTCTGCATAAATAACACAGCAGTGATAACACAGAAATGATTAAATAAAACCAGCCACTGACAGGATTTATTTTCCTTTAACAGAAAAAAAAAAACATTTTAAAGCCTGGGCAGAAATCCCATGGGGGTCAGGCAGCTTCGTGCCCCCCCCCCCTCCTCAATCTTAGAAAAGTCTAGAATTGCCCCCCTACCTCCCTCAAAAAAAAAAAAAAAAAAAAAACATAAGGATATATCAGTTTTAATCCTCAACTTTTGCACTGTGAAAATGCTAATTTTTTAGAATGTTTAAATAAAATGACTAGATAATATAATAATCATTATTTTTATTAAGGTCAGCAAAGCAATAGCACTTCATCCCAGTCAGGGCTAGAGCTCCTCACAGCCGACCTCTGTCCTGTGAAACAGACACTTAGTCAAATCCTCGGTCTTTGGCAGCCAACATCTGTCACATGTTGGTCCTCGGCTATATTTCTTTCCTCAGTTCTTCTTTAGATCGCCAGCTCAGCAAAACATAGAACTGGATCATCTGCCGCCCAGATTGACCAAACACTGCTGCCACTGATTGATGAAAACTGCAGTCTCAGTTTGCCTCCTCCTTACCGTCTGTTTCCATAATGTTCTTCCGTTGAGCTCTGATAAAGACCTAAGATAAATTGGTTTTGCTGAAGCTTCTCTCCCGCTCAGCAATCAGAAAGACTATCTGAGCAGGAAACTGAACTGGAGAAATTTCAGATGCAAATATAGCCTTCAGATTTTTATAAATGGAATTTTTTTCAGTAAAAAAAGAAAATGTTAAGGACAAGACTTAGATTCAGATTAAACTTTCTGACAGTGGATCAGTTTGTTTTCTCTTAAATTGGTTCTAATGTAGGGAAAATATGCAGTAAAAGACATTTCCAGAGGAAAATCTAAGGAGAATTAGAATCCAGATTCTACTAAACTATAACTTTATGAACTTTAATGCATCAGCTTTAACAGCAATGACCTCTAACGTCTAACACAACTCACGACTTTCTTTATAAATAAATTCAGACATTATCAGTAAATAAATCTTAACAGAGCGAACAGTCATGGAGTTCAAAACAAACCAGCCAAGACAGAATCAGAGAGATGGCTGAAAATGTGTAAACGCACAACACGCACACACATGCACGCACACGCACGTGCGCGCGCACACACACACACACACACGTATGAACGCATGTACACACGTTCACACACGCACACCCGAACACACACATGCACACCCAAACACACACACGCACACACAAACACACACATGCACACACCGACACATGTGCGCACACAGTACTGGGTGACTTTTGAAATATTAAAGGTTTTCTGCTCCAGTAGCAGTTAGCAGCTTTTTAACAGCTGCTTTGCTCTCTCACAGACCTGAAACGACCAGTGTTGTTCTTTGTTGGAATGTTATTGTTTCTAATGGGTTTCAGGTGATTAAAATTTGATCTTACTGGTAAATGTAACTGAACAAAGTGAAGCTCCACACAGAAAACATTAAATCTCAAACTTATTGCAAAGCATTTGTGCAGCAAACCACAACTTTGTGAATTTGTTTTATGAATTATTCATATCCCTCACGCTTCATTTAATCTTCCGACTCGTTGCTTCAGCCCTGATGATTTATAAAGCTATCATGTGGAGACCTCAGTCACGTCTTTTCCAGCCTTCTTCTTTGTTTCCCCTCTGATGTAAAAGATAAAGCTTTAGCCAAACTAAATACAGCTTTGGAAGGCATCTGTTTTCTTATTTTAAAGTCTGTGACGTCCCAGTATGTGGAGCATTGCTTTTGTACAAACTCCATTCTTGTTGCTTTATGTGTCTAAAGCTTTTTTTTCTTTATTTGTTGTGTTTTGTTTTCTTTTCTGAGAGCTAGCCTCTTTTTCCTGCCAGGATGTAACACTGACTTTTCAAGCAGCAGCAGCAAATATCAGGTTTTGTTTGATAAGCAGAGCTGTAGCACTCATGTTGTCAGCTTATGTACAAACTAATGGTAGCACTGCAGCATAGCTAGCTGCCATGGGAAGTTAGAACAGGAGTTCTTTAAGAGTAATCTTACACCATCTGGAAAAAAGTGGAATTTGTTTTTATTGATTTCCACAGTAGAAACTGAAAAATACTTGTGTTTCCTGAGATATCTAGAGACTTTCCCCTTCTGAAATTTACAAATTTGTTCCTAGAATTCAGTTGCTTGGGCAGCTCTGAAACTGAAATCAAATGTAGTTTTTAAACAACAGTTTAACAAAAGTTTTTCAAATTTATGTTGTATTTAATTTTTTTGTAAATTAGTTAATCTTAGAATGCTTTTATAGTGTCACATAATCTTAAACAGAACTGATGTATTTTAGATCAAACGCTAAAAAAAAGCACTGAAAAAGCTTTTTCTAACCTGAAACCAAACTTCTTCAACATAAACAGGATACAATCTCAAATCTCCAGAATGTTCTAAAAGCTGTTGGAAAAATGTGTAAATCTTGGTCTGAGAAAAAACAAAACAACAACAACAAAAAAACATTTTAAAACCTAACTGCTTCAAGAGTCATAGATAAATTATGTGTTTGTGTTTTTTGGTTATGCAGGAACCATTTTCGAAGATATTTCCCATTCCTGCCTCCTGCTGGTGATGATGTGTATTACACAGAGGCGTCCTCAATGTCAGAATCAGAATCAGGTTTTATTATCATACAGAAGCTCAATGAAGTTCATTTCAGTAGCCCGTCCAAAGGCAAGACAAATAAACACCATACCTCATGGGCAGACGTCTTTCCCTTTAAACTTTGACTGCCATCCATCCATCCATCCATCCATCCATCCATCCATCCATCCATCCATCCATCCATCCATCCATCCATCCATCCATCCATCCATCCATCCATCCATCCATCCATCCATCCATCCATCCATCCATCCATCCATCCATCCATCCATCCATCCATCCATCCATCCATCCATTTTCTTCCGCTAATCCGGGGTCAGGCTGCAGGGATAGCAGGCCCAGACTTCCTTCTCCCCAGCCAGAGCAAAAAACTAAATGTGAGCAAATAAATTAGAAGTTTGGTTGTATAGAACATGTTTGCACACCGGAGTAGAGAATCCATGAAATCTTTGGTGTTATAGTTGATTCCAAAGCTGTGGGTCTGGATCCCAGTCAGGGCTGTCAGACACCACATGGGGAGTTATGAAATCATCTGTGTTGCTGTGTGTATGTGTGTGTGTGTGTGTGTGTGTGTGTGTGTGTGGTGTGTGTGTGTGTGTGGTGTGTGTGTGTGTGTGTGTGTGTGTGTGTGTGTGTGTGTGTGTGTGTGTGGTGTGTGTGTGTGTGTGTGTGTGTGTGTGTGTGTGTGTGATGATGTATTTTATGAATAAATTTTGTTATTGGCCACATAAAGTCATGCATGTTTGTGAATCTGAAGAAAATAAACTATAGTTGTTTTTTGGAGAAAATAAGAAAGAGAGAACAGATATGATACCGCATCATGAGAACAGATTAAGACAAGAGACAATAAAGCAACACAATATACAAATAAATCTCACAGCTCTGTTTCAGTCACCTGAAAGTGGAGTTTTAGTTTCTGTCTTTCCCAGATAATAATAAAAAAAAATGTTCAGAGTTTGGCTGAATTGCATTTCAGTGTGTGTAAATCTGGGAGATGGCACTGTGATGGCAGCAGGGCAGGAGCACAAATTAAGAGCTGAAAATTTTTTGTATTTTTTAGCTCTTAATTTGCAAAAAAAAAAAGACTTTATAAATGAATTAAAAGTACACTGAGTGCTGAAGATCTGAGATGCAAAATATGAGGAGGTGTGGAAACTTTTTCAAGGTTCTACATGTAGATATTAGGTGTCTATAAATTAAAGAGAGTTAAAACATATTTATTTTTAATTATGAAAACATTAGGGGAACCTTGTGTTATAATTCTTCTGATTATTTGAACAGATTTAATCTTAAATTATTGTGCTACATCTTCAGCAAAACATCAATCTGTTGTTTATGTGCTCATTTTGTTTCAGAAAATAAAATAGCAAAAGAAATGTATTTACATAGAAAAAACAGATCACAGATCTTAAAGGCTTTTAATAAGTATGACATTATTTCACTTGCAGAGAACATTTTTATGTACTTGTAAACTTTGAACTTAAGGTTTATTAAACCCTGACAGTGACGCATGAAACGCTTCAGTGCCAATTTTACTGGATCTCAGTTCTGAACTGAATGAATGTGATGCTGAACATAACATAAAATTCATTGTGAGGTTTTACTGTAAATATGTTAATTTCACTTGACAGAGTGTTTGTTTCACTTGCCATTTAGAAATCAAGGAATCAAACATCATGGATTTAATGTGAGGTTCCTCATGGCTCTCTTCTCCAATCAGGCTCTAATTACATCATTATTACGTCATCACTGATGAAGCACAACTTTCTGCTGCTTTTTCATCATCTTTTTCATTAAGCTTCCTTCAGTTTAATCTAGGAAAGGCCAAACCTTTTTTTTATCGAAGAACCAAGAACTCAGCTTGATTTAATGATGCAGAACCAAAATGCCAGAAAACCAGATGCCGCTAATCAAACCTAAACCTTAGCAGCTTCTTAAACTCTATGAGTATGTCTGCCAAATACAAACTTGCAAAAATCTGACAGAAGAAAAAGTATGTGGATTATTTCACTTTCAGCAGGTGAGATTACTGTGCAATGATTCCGTCAAAATCTATCAACCAGTTGCAGCTTTAATCTGTGGTCTCAACCTGGAAATAAGACAACAGTATGTAGAAACTCTTCTGACTCTGCATGTCATAGTACAAATTTTAAATCATATTACTGGTTTCTTTTTTCTTCTTCTAATATTTAGTCACCTCAGGTATTTGGGATCTGGTAGCTAATAAATATTCTCAGCAGCAGATCTAAACTATGAGAAGAAAGATTTAGTTTCTTTGCTCCTTGGACCTAGATCCAACCTGGGAGCCTAAAATGCGCAGTTTGCTGTGTAATGTTTATTTTTCACAACCGTTTGCTTAATCAGTTATTTTCTTTGTTCAAAAATAACATTTCATTGATTTTTTACCTGCAGTGCAAAAGAACCCATTTTGTTAATTTGTTTCTTTTACTGTAATGCCCTATGTTTAGAAGCCACTAATATTGGATTGAGGTTAAATAGATAGATAAATAAATAAATAAATAAATAAATAAATAAATAAATAAATAAATAACCCTGTCTTCTTCATGATCAGAACAAATCATAAATAGGAAATAAGAACCCAGACCACCATTATTCTGAGACACAAAGACAAAAACTAAAGTTCTTGTATCCGTTTAAAGCCCATAAAGCTTCAGTTTGACTGCAGAAAGCGACAGCTGGATAAGTGTGGAGTCATGCCGGAGCAGAGCCTCTGCGATGTTCGAACAAAAGTACCGAGACGGCCCGGAGCTGTCCGCACAGAGCGGTGCTGAAAGCTGCCGCATCATGACAACACTTGTTAGAATCAGCAGGAAGGAGCAGAACTGGAGGCTGAAACAGCGAACAGACAGTCAGACTGACTGACTGACTGACTGCAGGTGATCAGACCACAGCAGAGGCTGGAGTTAACCTGATATGCGCCATAGACTCCCCAAACTCCACCAAGCATCCCCCACCCCGAATCAGTCAGAAAGGCCACGATAACAAAAATCATTTTAAAAAGCCAAGTAAAACTGGTACAGCACTTACACGTAAGCGTGGTAGACAAACGCCCATCCCCGCGGTCTCTCCAGCGCGTTGTAGAGGAAACTCTGTAGTTTCCGGTAGCTGGCATTTTTCTTCGACGGTCTGGGTCTCCCGCAGGAGATGCTGGATCTGGGTCTGCAGAGGATGCCACCCCGCTTGGTGCTCTCCGAGCCCGCAATGAGCAGCGCCCCATCCCTGGTGGATTCCGGAGCGCCGGGGTCCAAGCCGACGAAGCCTACTTTTTGCTTTTTCTCTCCGGCTTCAACTGGGTAAACCCCGCCGTTGAGGGATTTCTGCACCATCCTAAAGTCGAGACGACTCTGAGGAGGAGTTGTCGGTGTCCTTGCCATGGGGATGCATCACTGGCTGAGGGGTGTGTGCTGCTACTGCTGCTTGCTGCTGCTGCTAGATGCGGTCCGTGTCGGTCCCTGCAGAAACCCAATGTGTGTCCTGTCTACTTCTCTTCCCTTTCGGCAGCCGAACGGGCACAGTAGGAGACTTGCACATGAAGTGATAATTATAGAAGTAATGGCTTTAATGACTAAGACGTGCATTAGGATGTAAATTCAAACCCAACATGCAAATCAGACTTTCTGTTCTGGTTGCTGATGCAGAAAGTTGTCAACAAAACAAACAAACAAAAAACATGAAGAAAATAACGGGTGTCAGTCTACTTTAGTGAAAAGTGGTCTTAAAAACACAGCCTGATGTAACCCCGGCTTCTCTCCACTCAACTTCAGCCCAGGAGAGCCGCTACAATGAAAGCTTTCATTGGATGATGCACAGCTATGCAATATTTATATGTGCCTTTCTACACTATGAGAAATGGATGCCAGAAGTCATAAGTCAGGATGAATTAGGACTGGATTTCACTTGAAACAATAATGTCTTCAAACATTGTCACCCAAAATGTATTTTATCAGCTTTACTGGGATTCTGTGCATGTGCCCTGTTCATAATGACGTTATTAAGGCTCACATATAGTTCACTGGTGTGCTGTCTAATTATGCAATCTTTGTAAATGAAACCAAACATTATCGCACTGCTGTAAATAATTTTCGTATTACGGAGGTTCCAGTATAGGTAAAGATAGAAAATGATGCAAATAGAAAATCCAACCTCCTTTGGGGGTTTGGATCTGTACAGACCCTGGACGTGTGAAGACACATATTTAGTGTCTTTACACAATACTAAATATGTAAAGAAACATATTTAACATGTTTTTTCCCCTCATTTTTAATATCTCTTAAATAATTATTTCTTTCCCATTAATGCTGCCTCATACCTTCTGATTTTACTTGGCTGTGTTATGCTAGCTTGAGGTGCAAAGCAGCTTGGAGAATTTCACTTGTCAATTAGAAAGATGAGCATGGAAAATAACATTTAATTTTTGTTTTTGTTTTAGCTAGCTAATATTTCTAGTTGTTCCATTTCCACTGCAGAAACCAGAACCAATGGTTCCTGCTATGTTAGCCTTAACGACCTCAAGTCACAAAACAATGAAGTGACTGAAATGTTTGGCTGGCAGAAATGTTCCACAAGAAAAATAGACTAACGACATAGGTTGTGAAATAACCTGCCACCACCAAATGTGATTAACATATTTAAGCACAGTTTACCTTTTACAATGGAGATTTCAAGGCATTAGCTTTAGTTGTGTAAATTTAAGATTTTTTTAAGTACATGCTGGCACCCTGTGATGAGATTAATCTATTTTTTAGTAATGTGAAAATGGAGGCAAATGGATGCTGTGTATGGGAATTAGAGTAAAGGAAGATGATCACAAATGAATGACACGCTTTTCAGATTTTGTAAATAAATAAATACATACATAAATAAACAACAACAACTGAAAAGCATATCAGTTTTTTTTTTCCTCTTTGTAATATGTGCTACTTTGTGTTGGTCTACAACATGAAATCCCAATCAGACCCATTGAATCTGTGGTATTAAAACCACAAATAACAGAGTGGAAAGAGTACTATTTAACAAGGAGAACAAGTCAGTCTTACAAACACAGTCTTATGGCACTGATAAACAATCTGCTGCCTACCTACATTATATTAAACATATAATGTAAAATATAGGCAGGGAGAATAGAAAATGCTTCAGCAGAAGAGCTGAAAGAAGAAATCTCATCACAGGTCAGCAGCATTCACTCACCATCATATAGTAAGTGCAGAGATATAACGATCCTGATGAGTAATAGTTTAAAGACAACATATTAATGGAAAATGGAGACAGAGCTCCACTGGAAAAAAAACGAACTCTCTTGACGAGAACATTTTATTTACTAACTTGTTAAGATTTCATTTTAGAAAGATTCAACAAAAAGAATATCTTTGTACAGTTATTTTCAACAAACATAAAATTGCAGAAGTATACATACAAAAGAAAACATCAGAATTAGACAACAGTTTGTCCAGATACACCAACATGCTGCACTCATTAGCAATCTGCAGTGCTAACAGAAACCGCTTTAATATCACTGAATGGTTTTTATTCAGGTACAGAGCTGAGATCATACAGGAAAATATGTTGATACAAATATCTGCACGTCTGATCATGTAAACTGATTGATGAGTCTAGCTCCAGGTAAAAAGGCGAGATTATAACAACATGTCAATGTGGAACCAGGCTGTAAACAGAAATCAGCGTAAAGAATGCAGCAAATCATAGGAGGTTCTGGATGAAGAACATTTTTAACAACCAAAAAACCCAAGCTGCAGATCCGGTGATGCTGGAAACAGGCAGGCAGTGTCTCTTCAAATGCATGTCACCAATACAAAATATGTTTCATATACTATATTACTTCCATAAAAATAATCCAATATAATTTATAGCATTATTCTGTAACGACTGCCCAATCTTCTGCTCTGACAATGTTACGTATTTATTTACAAGAAAACAAAATTTCCAGTAAACTAATGTTAATGTGTTTCAATCCTCAACACAATCCCTTTTGTTTGTTTTTGTCATTCTAAGACTGACTACAGTCCTTTGTGTAATCACTGTGTTCTTTCAGAACACCTACAGCAAACAAACATAAGAGCCAATTTAAAAGTCAGATGTCAGAAAATACAAGGCAAACTTTCGATATTTGGATTAATTAATGTATTAATATTTTAAGTAATACAGTACTTAATGTTTTGACTTGGTTTCTTTGTTTTACATTTTGACCTGATTTACATTAGCTAGCTTTAGTTACTCCATCCCTTACATGCCCTGATTATTAATGAAACAATTACTGACATAACTGAATTCCACACAATTAAATAAAATGAAACACAAGCAGATACATCTAAAAAACAAGTGAAATGGGATGCCACTGGTCTTTAAATACTGATCAATACATAGGCTGGAATGCTTTTAGACTCTTTAATACCTGATATCGAGTAAGTAAGCGATAAAAACGCTCCTTCTGGACACAATAAATAGCTATCCTTCATTTTGTGCAGCAATACAGTACTTAAACTAAACCTACAGTAATTGCACAGTCACCACATGCAACAGGCTTGGAAAAAAATTCAAAACAGCCCCCTCCTCCCCTTCTGCCATCTTTTTTATCATCAGGCCCCTCAGTCCCTACTTCCATCTGTCTGTCTGCCTTTTGGACTTTCTGTGTCTACCAGCATAGCTAAAATGTTCTTCTTGATTTATGGTCAGAAGTCTGAGCCCTGGGAAACACCAGAGCATGTGGACAGAGCGAAGGGCAACTCTCCAGAGTTTGCAGTCCAAGGCAAAGTGGATAAACGATTGTTATTTAAGACGTTGGTCAAATACAGGTAGTTTGGTTAATCCAGTTAACAACACAAGCTGATCCATGAGAACATCGTCTTCTAAATAAGTAAGGTAAGCTTCCCGTCAGAAGACGTAGGAATATTGTCCAGGACAATCTCAACGCATATGTGGCCAGTTTGTGGCTCTCTGGCCGCAGGAGTCTGGTTTTAGTTGGTCCGTTGTGTCTTGTATCGTTTGTCTGAACCATCTTTCTTAACTTGTCTTGCAGACACCGGGGTTGGTCCTTGTTTTACTGGCAGCGTCAAACTGAGAGGAAGAGATGAGAATTAAACTCATCCACTCCTAATGTCCTCCACTTCTGGTGCGAATATACAGGGAGAGCACTTCAGATTCTCTGAAGCGCTCTCACAGTTCTCCATCTAAGGGTGGCAAACACAACTTGAAGAGCCTGCAAAAAGAATAAGGAGCTTTCAGATGACCATATATGGGTATTATGGGCTGATGATTGCATAACACGGAGTGTGCGGTGTTGGTGTACCTTGGAGCTGATGGTGGCATCTGGTCCATCACCTTCAGGTTTTTAGCAGACAGCTCCACTCTTGCCCCCTGATAGAACCAAAGAAATAACACCTGAAAAACCTCAGGGTTTATATTCCTATATCTTTGCACTGGATGAAAAATGTACCAAAAACAGTACAATTTATTCAATATTTAAATAATCCATCCATCCATTTTCTGGTCACTCTTCTCCCTAATGGGGTCGGGAGTTGCTGGTTCCTATCTCCAGCTGCGTTCTGCAAGGCAACAGTGCTACCAACTGCGCCACTGTGCAGCTCTATTTAAATAATATTAACCTAAAATATTACAACCTTAATATGCTCCATTAAAGTTCAGTGTAAGTTCTAGAAAAATAAATAGTACATTCCACTAAAGTTAATGTAAGAAAATTGAAACATTTTGGGAAAGTAGATTTTAAATTCCATGAAAGGACTTTGGAAGTTCTGAAAAAAAGTTTGGGAAAAAAGTCCAAAAAAAAAAAAAAAACTACTTAATGACTGGTGGACAGTGTAATACAGGGTAAGTTGTGGGAAAACAAGAACTGTGTTCAGAAAGCTTCTGAGAGGACCCTTGAAATGTTGGAGAGAGTAGCTCCTAAGTTCAGGAAAGTAACCAGTAAAGTAAAAACGTTTAATTCATTTTATCCCAGGAAAGTAGTCGACAAGTTCTAGAAAGTAACAACTGAATATGAGAGAAGGGCCTGGTTTGTTTGGGAGACATTATCAGTTCATTGTCAGTTTCAAAGGAAAGTTCCAGAAATATTCACTAATATAAGACATTAAAATATGTTATTTCTTTTATAGCAAGCACATTTATCTTGGTGAAAACTTATTTTTTAAGTTAGTTTTGTCTTATTTCAAGTGTACTAAAATATTTGAACTAGAAACTAGAAAAAAAGACTTGGCAAGATTTTAAGTTCTGCAGTGTGTTATCTAGGAAAGAAACAAGGTTGTATTCCTAATTATAATTAGAAATCTTATTGGAGGGGATGCATAATAACTCTTTAAATCCTGTCTGAGGTTCACCTGCTTCCTCATAATGTCCATGGTCTGCATGATGCAGCGTGGCAGGAGGCCATGGTTCCTGGCCAGGATCATTGCCTTCTCCAGGGTCACATTCAGGGTAC